TCAGGAGAGATTGGTCCTTGGAGAAGGACATCATGCTCGGAAGGTGGATGGACAGCTCAGGAGAGGGAGACTTCAGATGAGTTGGATTGATACAGTGACTGGGGCAGTGGGGGTTGGTGTGTAGGAATTAGTGAGACTACCTCAGGACAGGGAAGGGTTCTGAGCCACAGTACATAGGCTGTACACTCTACACTATACATTGCAGGCAACTCAATGGCACATAATAGTAACATACTATGACAATTTTGGAAGTAGGAGGGGCATTCACTTCCTAAATAATGTGCCTCTGGAAACTGTGAACTTTGATAAACATCAGAAGTTGTAAAGGAGCTTCAGGCCTTTTGTTCATAGGATTGGTATGAGTCATGCTCAACTAGAAGGCAATCAACAACAACAAAGATTAAATCCCTATTCACATAAAAAACTTTTTCTAACAGAGTGAAAAGAAAACCTACTGACTGGAAAATAGCATTTGGCAATACAGTCTCAGACACGGGTCTCATAACAAACATTTACATAATACTACAGGGCCTCCAGAAGAAAACTGATAACCCAATTACAAAATGAGCAAGAGACATGGAAAGACTTTCACAGAAGAAGACAGTAAGCTGGCCACCAGACACATGAAGAAATGCTCAAAATCACTGGCAATAATTGAGAGATGAAAATCAAAACCACAATGAGATACCATCTCACTCCAGTAGCTGTGATAAAGTTTGATGGGACAGCAAGCCATAAATATTGGAGAGGATGTGGAGAGATAGGAACTCATACACTGTTGGTGAGATTTTAAAATGGCACAGTCCCTCTGGAAAGCAATTTGACGTTTTCTCAAAAAGCTGAGCATAGAAATTCCATATGACCTAGTTATTCCACTGCTAGAAATATGTTGTTGTTGTTGTTGTTGTTATGTGCCATCGAGTCATTTGCAACACATAGCGACCCTATGTACAACAGCCCTAAACCCTGCTCTATCCTGTACCAATCACATTGCCTCTGACACACCTGTCCCAATTACCCAAGTCACTGAATCAATCCACCTTATAGAGGGTCTTCCCCTCCTGCGCTGTCCCTCCACCCTACCAAGCATAATATCTCTCTCCAAGGACATGTCCAAAGTATGTCAGATGAAGCCCCAGAATCCAAGGAGTAGGCTGGTTTAACCCTTTCCAGGATGA